ACAAGAGCAGGCTTGCCATGGAGACAGAGTTAGGGGGAAAGGCAGGAGGCAGGTTACTGCTGGCGGTCACTGGCCCCACCATAATCAGAGAGGGCAGAAAGCACTTGAGAGGAATCAACCCCAATCCAACATGTAAGAGCAATGCATTTCTTTACTAGCGCAAGACTTTAATGAACATGTTAATTTGATGTTCAAATGATTAACAAGATGAACGTTTTCCCAGATAAGCAAACAGCCAAGATAGACCCAGTATTATCCTATCACAGTCACCATCAAGCCACATTTGGAGATTCAAAAATTACAGCCCTAGGCCAGAGACAGATTCAAGCATTTCTAGCAAAAGAGGCAGTCGTATCTCCAAGTTGAGCTCCTGCCAAGCTCATTGCATTAAAGGCAAAGTGGCTGTGGGCACCTTGAGGACCCTTCTCAGTCTTCCTTGGCCTCCCAAGGCTCCATCTCATTTCAGCAGAAACCCTTTGATTACTCTCACAAAACTTTTCACATTACTCTGTTTTCCTTTTTATAACCTAAATGATAACTTTGAAGGGAGGTTCACGTAGAACAATGTGCTTTTTTCACACCGTTCAGCTGGAAGATGTATTCAAAAGGGAAATTCTGGTTTACTACCATTTAAACTGCTTTCATGTTAAAAGAAAAGTGACTGGTTCTCTGGTGCAGGAAAAAAGAGTAATCTCTTTTTTTTTTCCCCAAAAAATATTTCCCAATGCATTTTTCTCTAAAGGAATTTTGCATGAGAAAACCACATTTCCCACTCAGCTCTTTTTTTTCTGGTGACGTGAATTACTTCCCACCACAGGCTGTGGCAAAGGAAAACCACATCAGGCAGAGGGACAAAGCATTTGCCTCACCACAACTGAAAAACCCCGTGTGCTCCTTTGCTGTGGAGCAGCTCGGATGCTGAATTGTCGATCAGCAGCAGCACTAGGCAGGGCAGCAGCTGGGACAATGTTACCAGAGCACATCTCTCTGATTTACTCAGGTGGGTGCAAAAGCTCTGGGAACACCCCCACCACATTTTGCAATGTTTCTTATTCCTAACCCCACCAACATCTAGACTACCAGCACAGCATCACATCTCCCACCCTTAGCACACCACTTCAGCACCCCCTACATTAACCTTTCCAGAGGTCGGTTTCTTTAGGAGGAGGAGATACATCTCAAAGGCTTTGTGGATGCTGCTGACAAGTGGTGCACCCCTGCAGTAGCAGGTGCATGTGTTTGTTGCTAGCCAGCCAGCTATTCTTTCAATTATTTCCACAACATCAAGAGCCTGTCCCTGTCATGCACACAGTTTGTTTCTGATAAAGCAAAGCAGAAGTTTATAGAGACATTGGCCAAAGGCACTGCCATTAACAGCAGAAAAATTAAATCTGAACCTTTAAAAACCATCTTATTTCTTTATATAAATCAAGCTTTGGATATAAATGGGGAGACCTTGTAACAGTCTTCCAGTACCTAAAGGGGCCTACAGGAAAGCTGGAGAGGGACTTTCTACAAGGGCTTGTAGTGAGAGGACAAGGGGAATGGTTTTAAATTGTCAGAGGGTAGATTTAGATTAGATACAAGGAAGAAATTCTTCACTGTGAGGGTGGTGAGGCGCTGACACAGGTTGCCCAGAGGAGCTGTGGCTTCCCCACCCTTGACAGTGTTCAAGGTCAGGTTGGACGGGGCTTGGGGGAAACTGGGC